ACTGCTTTTTACAATGGGAGATAATGAATATTGAGCAGAATTAAGTTCAAGTTATCGTTGGTTCGACCCTCCAACACAGTTCAGGTTTCTTATGTGGCCCCTTGTAAAAATTAATTGCCCACCCCTGCTGTAGAGTATTGAAGAAGGAAGGAAAACTAGTCAATACCAAATGAGCAGCCAGTCATATAAATGGCTCTGCCCAGTTTGCCTTGACTGACAGACATTCTGCTGAAAAACAGCATTATGAAATAAAAAGGACACTGGGAAAAACTGCAATGTGAAATAAAAGCCAACACTGAAAAACAACATTTTGAAATAAAAGCAGGGAAATAAAAGAAATCTTTAACTGGAAGGCTTTAACTGTGAAAACAAGCATGATTAAATATTTCATAATAAGAATATTTTTAAAATGTAATAAAATAATTTCATAATAATGAGTTGTATTTTAAAAATATGTTTGATTATTTTATAATATGACCATGAAATTGTAAAAGTCTAGTTATTCAAATAATTAGTTATTTACTAATGCCTTATTTATTGATTTGATTCTGAACATTTTGGAGCTCCATATACCACAGCTTGTTGTCTGCACTGTTCTTGTTATCCTCCGTTCAATTTGCATACAGTGTTTGTTTCACATCTCATACATCCTCACTTGAATTAAGTTCAAGCAAAACAGGTTTGTTTTAAGGGTTTCTCTGAATTAAAATGTGAAAAGCATAGCTGACTTAGTCTGAGGCTGAAACCTGTTTTGCAGCATAGCAAAGTTCTTGAAGGCGTCCTACTGCCTACAACCACACAAACCACAGACTGCACATCTAGCACGATGAAGTAGGCAAGTTTCATGATACAGTACAGACAGCCTGTGACACATGCACAAAGATCAGCGCGTTTCCTCTACGTTCATACAGCATGACCATCACACGAACCACTCTCCAACAACAAGCACCATCTACTCCTGTTCTCTCTTTTTAAAGTCCTGCATATGACATCAAAGACAGCAACTATATTTGGCTGTAACTACTAGGGCTGGACCCAATTATCCAAGCATTCAAATATTCGTTCATTGGGCAGGTAGTCGGTCTTAAATTTTAGTAATGAAATATTTGCCCCCTGGCCACCGCTGCTGCCGCACAGCTGTGCCAGTGTAACACAGTGTACAATCTTGTTAGCTACACTCTGGGTGGAAATCATTCAGGTAGCAGCTTCTGCTGATCATTGCTGTTTCTGGTTAAAACTGTAACTAGCGGGGTCACACCAGATGTTGCTAACTAATGTTAACTCTGTGACTTCAATTAAAGACAGGACAAAATGAAGCATGTGCAGAGGACCTCAAGCAAGACCCGCACTCGTGTCGTGAGCGTTCACTCGTACACTGGAAGCACTTGGTGTACAAAGTGCACAGAAGGGCCTACAGAAACACTTTGCAGATGGGGAACTACATCCACGTATGTATGTATGTATGTATATATATATATACACAGTGTATCCAACCAATGGAAAAAACAGCAAGCACAAACTACACACACTTTGAAAAGAACTGTGCTCAGTAATAACATTCTTCTGTTACCTGTTTATATTTAGAGAAGTACAAATATTTCACTTCATTTTTAGCTGGAGGCTTGTAAAAAAAGAAAGTGAAAGAAAGACTAACTTTAATTAATACAATGTATAATTTTATTACAATTTAATTTCTATTAAAGAAAAGTTGCAAAGTTTCGTTGTATGCTGTCAATTACAGTTATTAGAAAGACAGAAAACCAGAATCAGGTCAAAGAAAAAATGGAAATTGTAATTGGGCAAAATAATTGCAATCAGTGCATCTCTATACTCAGTCACCTAAGTTAATAACCTACGATAAGATTAAAGGGCAAGTCGTGGGTGTTCATCAAAAACAGGTCCATTCGTAGCCAGTGTGAAGTGGAGACAGGTAAATCATGGGAGTGGGACACTGTACAGCAAGTCTGTCACTACCATGGGAAGAATGGAAGTCACAACACAGGGAGCACAATAAAAAAAAATTCTTTACATGATCATTAAAGCTAAGAACAAAAGAAGAAATTAAACTACACCGTCAAAAGAAGATAACACCAGGACTTTCTTGTCCGTGGAGTTAAGATCATTTCAACTGTAAACTGTAAGCATTTCTCATTTTGAAATATAAACTGCTACTTTCTAAGACAGGACGTGGTTTTTACAGAGGCCACTGGCTTTGAGGTGACGTTAATGTTAACAGTAGCTAGAAATGCAGCCGAATCCAAGGATGTAGGCGGCGTTATCCATGTAACCAAACAGCTAGCTGGCTAGGCTAAGCAGCAAGCTACTCGGTTGCTAACTTGCTCTCCCTGTTGTCAAACGCAGTAAGCGTGATTTAACACACTGACATTTGGTTTAATGCTTCAATCTACGCGTGTTCCACTTGTTTTGTAACGTTATGTTGAGTCGACAAAGAAAGACGTATAAAAACAACACAAACGCCACATCATGGAAAACTTACCCATTGCTGTCCTTCGCACCGCCTTACTATCAAATGCTGGGAATCTCTTATCCTGCAGCCTCACCACTATAGCGACTAGCCAGGACGATGTGTACGATCAACCACAAAGTGTGTTTATCGATTCACTGCCGAAAAACAAGCCGAGTGACCGTATATCCATTCGTCCTTGCCCCAGCAGGAGCAACAGTAACCTCCCCACTTCTCTCTTGGTAGTGCTTCAAGAATAGTGTGCAGGAAGTTAACCAGGAGTCTCCACCTTTCTTGGACTCGCCTTACGGGTTGTTGGTGTTTGCCTGCTGACACCGAAACACAGAACAGGAGGAAACTTCACGATGCTCCAGTCAGGACAGACTGTCATGGACATTCCCGGGAAAGGACTGATTTATGGACCATTGACACCCGAGTATCGGGCCACTCAGTACAGTACAGCAACTACTCTGTGTGTGTGTGTGTGTGTGTGTGTGTGCGAGAAACAGGTCTGATACTGGCCTGATCTATAACTATAAAATAACTGAGATTGTCATTATAAATCGGCTAAACAACAGAAACAGAAAGAAAGGCGAAAGTGAAGAGGACTGAACAGCCTACTTTCTGAAGCCACTGTGAACGCTACCACCCAAGCATCTGCTGTAGATATACGTAGGTATGAATAAAAAGTACAAAATACAAACTATACAAATATATAGAAGTAAAAAAATATGATACAGCATATAACGGAGTATAACACTGAGTAACCACTCAGTAACTAGAATCAATAGAAAGCAGAGCAGTGCATGCAGGTGCATTGAAGCCTGGACTCTGTTGATTAGGGTGAGAATCAAAGCTGCAACTATCAATCACCACTATGCAGAGTGCTGGGGAATAACTAGTGACTACAATTAAATTACAAAATAAAGGTAATTGTAATTGTTATATTAACTAAAAAAATACACAGTTAGTTAAAATGTTAGTGATTACAAAGGGGTTACATCTGAATTTATGCTTAGAATATAATGTTCATTCTGTTGTTTCGCATCTTTTTACCATACAGGAAAGCCTTCTCTCAGCAAATTTGTGGACAACATGGTTCAGAATCAGCTTTATTGGCCAGGTTTGTTGGACACATGAGGAATTGGACTCTGGTACAGTGGCTTTCAATGTGTGTATATAATGCTCTTATGTAAAGCGACTAGTAGACAAGTAAACATGATGACTGAAAAAACAAAAAAAGAATGTGCAAACAAGAAAAAGGAAAGTGCATTAGGAAAAAATAAAATAAAGTACTTATAAATATATATACACACAGTTTAGATGTAGTTTTCCAGATAGATATATACAAGTGTATATTTACAGGTACTGCACTGAGGGTTGCAGTTCTGTTATATAGTCATGGGTTAAGTGTTCATCAGTGTGATGGCCTGGTGGAAGAAACTCCTTGTGTCTCGTTGTCTTGGTGCACAGTGGCATGTAGTGCTGTCCAGAGGGGAGGAATTCAAAGAGTTCATGTCCAGGGTGTGAGGGGTCTGCAGAAATCTGCTCTGTCCTCCTTTTGACCCATTAGGTGTACAGGTCCTCCATGGAGGGCAGGCTGGCACAGATGATTCTTTCTGCAGTCCTGACTGTCCACTGGAGTTTGTTCCTGCCCTGTTTGGTTGCTGAGCCAAACCAGACAGTGATGGAAGAGCAGAGAACGGACTCGATGATTCCTTTGTAGAACTGAATCGACAGCTCCTGGGGCAGGTTGAACTCCCTGAGCAGATGCAGGAAGTATATCCTCTGCTGCACCTTTTTGATGATGGCACTGATGTTGATCATCCATTTCAAGTCCCAGGAGACTGTTTTGAGCGTGTTCAGCTCCAGGTTGTTGCACCGCACCACAGGGCCAGCTGTTCAACCTCCTGTCTGTAAGGTGACTCATCACTGACACGGATGAGACCGATGACTGTTGTGTCAGGAGTTTAACCGAGGGGTCCTCTGAGGTGCAGTTGTTGGTGTAGAGGGAAAACAGCAGTGGGGAGAGCACATATCCCTGGGGGCGCCTGTGCTGACAGTCCAGGTGTTGGATGTGGATGTGTTTTCCTGTACCTAGTAATGTTTTTCAGGCTTTTCCACACAGACACGGGGCCATTGGCTGAAAACTGGTTTTTCAGCTTTTTAGAGCAGCTCCTCTGGTCTCCCTTTTCAGTGTGTTCCTGGCCTGCCTGTACAGGACCTTGTCCCCACTTCTGCAGGCCTCCTCTTTGACACGATGAGGCTGCTTGAGTGTTACTGTGATCGAGGGCTTGTCGTTGTTGTTGTATGTGCAGAAGGTCTTGGTGGACACATACACGTCCTCACAAAAGCTGATGTATGACTGGAGAATAAAATGGTTTGCAGTTGATGAAGAGTCTCTAAGTTTGTGTTACAAGTTTTTTCTAACACTGTGACATCTTTACAGCAACCTTCTTTTATGTAGAAGCAAATTCCTTATCCTGGTTAAGACCATTATACAATCTGTCCTGTATACCTGGAAGCCAGTATTTGTATTGCGCTGTCCAATATGGAGTCGCTGAGCCAAGTCTCTGTGAAGCATAAAGCAGCAGAGCATGAGACATCAGAGTTAGTCCTGTTGATGAGAAGGAGTTTGTGACTGCAGTTACATTAACTTAACCAGGGGAACATCTGCAAGTAAGTTAATGTAACTGCAGTCACTCATAAAATAAAGGACATCCCACCCCACCATGTTGTTTATGTGTAGTCAAGATTTAACTTTGCCCTGAATGTCCCTGCTTACCACATATTTCCCTATGGGAACAATAAAGTATCTAACTATCTATACTACATATTTTTAGGACTTTCCAGCTTTATTTTACCGCATGTGTTAAAAAAGTAATCCAATTACAATGAATCATATAAAGTTACATTACTTTAGTGAAGTGATAAATAGTTATATTTATTACATTTTTAATAGGGTAACAAGTAATCTATTACATTTCAAAAGTAGCCTAATCTTCCCAACACTGACAATAGAGGAATGTATTTTTCCATTGTGTTGAAAGTTTAGGGGCAAATGACAAACCAAAACCCAGTTATGCCCCCTTTTAAAATGTAAAACTCCAGTGCTTCTGCCCCATAAAAGGCTAATCCAGTTTTTTCCTAACATTCTTATGTTCTTCGTTTCTTTTCTCACATGTAGAAAACAAAGATTCATCAATAATTCTAGTTTAAATCTCATTTGATGCAATGCATTTTGGAAATGTCATGAATAGTGTGGTGGTAAGGGATTCTTCCTGTCTGCAGATTGACAACACACCATAAAAGTGTCCCCACAACACCCCAAACAGCATGACTGCAGAGAAGGCAATGTAGTAAAAAGGCGCTGAACATACAAATATACATCATTTTTAAATTTTAAAGACAGAAATGTTCAGATTAACCTCAAATCCTTTCTATGCCAAGCTCCACGGTCCCAGGCAGTAGTAGGCACAGTGCCCGCTGTCATTCAGCCAGCTTATCTCTTTGACATCACATCATGAATTGTGTAAAAAGGAAGTAGTTGACGTCAAATTCACCCTAAAGAGGAACCATTTAAAGTTAAATGTCAACAACCTTTCAATAGACAGCATAAACACAATTTCAATGCAAATTTAGTTGGCCACATAACATAAATACCACACACACACACACAAACAGAGGGCAGTTTAGTATTGGCCAAGAGGAATGACACGCAGCAGGATGCTGCTGTCCAAGTAGATTATGGGAATAACAGTAACGGCAAAAAAAACCTGTGCAGTTTGGTGCATATTCTAACCCCTCATAAATGGGTATTCATTGTTTCTTTATTAGTAGAAACTTTATCCTTGAGTAATGCTTTTGGGTGGGTGGGTGGTTGGGGTTCACAATTTCCTAGAGAAAGGGCATCTTACTAACAAATACTTCCAAAGAAAAGAAGCTGTTCAGTGCCAAAAGGTGATGGGGTGCTGTATGTTGCCAGTGGCTGCAGGTAGCTCCTATGTTAACAATTTACATGTATTATTTACACTTAACTGTCTTGTGACTATCTGAAAAAACAGAGACATCAGTTGAAAATGCAAAGAGCTGATGCAAATTTGAAACTTGCTTACAGACAAACATCTACAATGAACAGTAACCGGGTAGCAACAAAGATTTATACATTTATGTTGTATAAGTTCCCCCGGCCCTGTTCAGTTGCATCATCTATTGTGCCTGCATAAAAAAACACCTGCTGCTCAACGTGCCTTGGCTTCACTGTGTAACACAGAGCCACACTGTGGATAAAATATGAAATTGCAAACAATCTCAGGTCTTCACCGTATTTAACAGCTCCCTGTACATGTCCAAACTGTTACTGACACGTGTACAGAGCTGTAGAATGGGGTCAGCAAACAAAGTTCACGGTTGTTCACCAAACACATTGAACACCGAAGCCAACCACTGGGTAAGAATGACAAGCAAAGCAATACAGTCAATATTCATTTTATATTAGTTCACTCATTTCTACAAAGCCATTAAACATTCAGTGGATACTTGGATACATTTGAATATTTGGCAATACTTTACTGTCAGTCCCTGTATTTAGCATTTATAAGCAGTATATAAACATTTAATAAATGGGTTATAACACATACGTGTCACCCACTGTAGCTCCTCCTGTGGGCACCAATAAGTGGAGATTAATAGATAATGAACTGCAAAAGAGAAGCTTTTATTGTTGGCAACTACTGTAGCTTAATCAAACTCCTCAAATATCCTTATATTTATAAAATACTACATTATAGTGTGTTAAAACATTTATTAAATGTTTACATAATGATTATGAATGTTAGAGGACTTACTGTTGTGCATATACAGTATATATATCCCAATTTGGGTTGTGTCAGGAAGGGCATCTAGCGTAAAACACGTGCCAAATGTATACATGCGAACGCTTGATTACCTGTGGCGACCCCTAACAGGAACAGCCAAAGGATGTAGTAGTAGTAGTAAAGGACTTATTGTTGTCAAGGATTACCATTACAATTTATAGCTACAAGTATGTGAGTAGTGTAATCAAAATGTTAAAACAAGATGTTATTTACATAATGTTTATTTTACTGTATGTTGTTTTCATTCTTATTTTTGGATCAGTATTTAACAATTGTAAGAAAATCATCATTACAAATTTAAGCTTTACTTTGTTTTTAATGAAAATAAATTAAACTCTATAACCAATGGTTAAACAAGGCTCAGTGCATTTCTGGTATGACTACTGCTGATAGGTGCAGGTTATCTACTGATTGCTTATAATCCATGTCAGTGTATTTATGAACAGCACAATTTCTGACAAAATGTCTTGGAGTCCAGCTGAGTTTAGTGATGCATTTAATTTGTAACAACTATGTTTGTCCAGTAGATGTCAGACTAATCTCTGTATTGTTCTGATGCTACTGGTACCAGCTACTTCTCTGTTTTAATTACTTTGACACATGTCAAGGTAGTTTAATGTTATAAATATTGTAAAATTAACCTACTTATATCTTTAAAATACACTCATTGGCCACTTTATTAGGTGCACCTGTACAATTGTATGCCTTTCAGTGCAGCACTTCCACCTTAACATCTGTGTTTATGAAGCTCAACATATTTCAGCTTTTGGTGAAATTGTCATAAATAAATTTAATTATGTTTATTATTGAGATCACAGTTAAAGGTGGTGTTGTACTGGACTACGTTATATTTAGAGGTGTCTCTATATGTTTGTCCTTCCCAGCTACATACATGAGAGGGTCAGAATATTAGGAACACGTCTGAATATAATGTAGTCCAGTACAACACCACCTTTAACTATGACCTCAATAATAAACATATGTTAAGGCAGAAGTGCTGCACTGAATTGCATACAGTTGTACAGGGTAGAAATATACATGTTATAGGGTTTGTTTATTTAGTTGACTGAGGAAAGTAAAGGTGTAGTTGACTGCTGCCTGGTTAATGCTGGTTAATGCAAACAAATCTACCTCTAAAGCTCACAAACGTAACATGTTATATGTTGATTTCCTGGAGTCTTTTTTTCTGAGAACAGAATTGTTTTCTCCTTGACTGATAAGCTGTAGTTATACAGTAAATATTTTATATGAAAGGTGACTGCTGTAGTGATGAACCCACAGAGAATAATTACAGGCTCTGCAGATCCCTTCAGCTCTCTGGTACATTTACTATCTTTCTCCTTATTGTTTTGGTTTCACACAACTTTGCTGTTTAACCACTCTAATCAACCCTAAATGAATCACAGTGAAAAACTGATTTCTTTGACAATTCAGATGTAATCCAAAATCTTGTCTTCTTTTTTCACGTTCACTGTCGAAATGCCTACAGTACTTCAGATGACAGTACAGTCGATGGACAGCTCACTGCATCTGTTGAAAATAAAAATTCCTCCCGGGCATAACAATGACCTCCTTTCTACAACAAAGCCAAACAAGCCTAGCAAGCCATTTGTAAACCTGAAATATAGAACATAGGATCACAAGGGCTGTTAAATTATTCATACTTTAAGCTCCATGACTCAGCAAATTACACAAAGAATGGCCTAATGCTGTTTCAGGGGAAACTGAATGACATTTAAGCATAATGGACCAGCTCTATGATGGAAGCCAGGCTGATGACTAAGGCTTGATTAGCCCTGCCTCTGCTACAGGCCTGGCCGTATCACAGTTCAGGCTAGTGTGGTGGGAAACAGGCAAGCCGCAGCCCTGCATATAAAGGGAAAATACAGTCAAACTGGAAAGCTTCTTTTGGTTCAGCAAAGGGGCCTTCTTCTTTCTGAATACTTAAGGATCTTTCTCATTGTGGATAAAATCTGTGTCAGGTCGAAATATCACCAATAACACCCTGATTCCACCACTGTACACAGATGACTTTCTGTTGTTTTACATGCACTATTTTGTTTTTATCCCGCTGAACGTTTGCACTGTGAACAAGACTATTACTATGACTGTTCCTTTCACAGATCATGGCACTTATAGAATAGTACCTGATTTTATGCAATAACTCACGATTTGCTGCAGTTAAAGGCACAACAGAATGTAGATCAGAACTGGTGACAAACATAATACAGATCATTATATACTACCTTAAAAACCAGGACACTACTTACTGTTTCTTTAACTGTTCATCAACAAAAAGTACCCCATTGTCAAAAACAACACACACATATGTATATATAGAGCTCTCAAAAATGTCATGTGTCAATATCTGTTACAGAAACAAAGTCACTTTTATGAAACTGGTTACAAAACTATATTGTGCACCAGACTGAATATTAGGCTGGTCAGTGGAAGAGAACAAAACTCAAGTGTCTTAACAGAACCGTGACTTCAATATCTTGAGGACATCTGGCTTGTTCCTAAGCCTTAAACATAATCATCATAGTAAAAAGGACGGAAACATAGAAAGCAAACTGGGACTTGTAGAGGTCCATATGCCAGCATATACTGTAGTCAGAGTTTCATTTACACCACTTAAAATACAACATTTCTGATTTTTGAGGTAGGTATGGCCATAATCATGATTTTACACTCATGATGAAGTCTGCTGCAGAAAATGACACATTACTTGTGTTTAAGGTTTGTTTACTGACCCCATGTGAAACAATATACAGTATGTTTATATCTGTGTTGATAACACATCCCTCAAATCCCTAAAACAGCTGTTTGGATTTCTGATAATTTGTTTGTTCATAACATGTCTAGGTTGGACCTGTCTGTGGTCTCCTAACATTATTGCTATGTAAGATACTGTACGTTTCTTTGTGAATGACTTTTTGGCAAACTAATATATTTATTCATGCATAGTTTATATAAAACGTAGTGTGATTACCTTATGGTAAATTTTATGTTCTTTCACATTTGTAATAGTGAACTGCTGAGATCAGAAGTATAAATAAAAATTTAAAATTAAATAAATAAATAGGCTACCAATAAAGTGGGCTCCCTGAATTCCAAAATATTAGGAAGTGAAGCCAATCTCAAGGGTTGAATTAATATTGATATTAATATCAAAGATATATGTAAATTTGGTAAAAAAAAACACAAGAGAACCAATAAAATTGGTCAACATATAGGCCATGGAAGATGTATGCTAGTGTTATCCATATGTTAGAGTTCAGGACCTTAGTTTCCTTAATGCTCATTGAAACTCTCCCTCCCTACACTGTACCATCTACCTTAAAGTGGGCCTGTATTGTAGGTAAAACAACTGTCATGACGTCTAAGGGTTCAACAAGGACATGCAGCCTAATTCATGAATCTTAACCTAGTTTCACCTGCATGACACATGTCCCTGAGACTACCCCCCCATCTGTAAAGACCATGGATGTATTACAGTGACCTGGTCCTGTACTCACGTGCAAAGCTTGTCTGCGATGCGACTGGCTGAGACGTGGCGCTAACTCCCGCCTCTCCGTGTGCGCGTCACCGCGGCAGTTTCTGTGCCCCGCACAGCGCACAGGGAGCCACTGCACACGGACAAACCCAGGCGAGTCGAGTCTGCGATTCCATTGTGGCCGTCATCCACCATCGCTATGGGAATTACCACAGCGTTCTTCCTTAACCAAGCTGTCCTCCCTTCGGAAACCGCACCACCTGCAGACACCGACTATCAAACACTGCAGCTGAAAGCGTTGCTGCACCAGAGACTGGCTCAGCGCCTCACCTCCGGCAAACTGAGGAGGAGGATGAGGAACACCTAGAGATTAAAAGTGTTTTCTCTAGCAGACAACTTGGACAAGGACGTTTGTTGGAATCTTTTACATCAGGACGATGCATGCCACGTGTGTGTCCGCGGTGGTGAGTACTGTGCATGAGATTTCATTCACCTCCCTGCTCGTTTTTATCCATTATTCTCCCCCAGCAGGTTCTCCATTTAGAGGGCCAGTGCCTGTTTTTATTCGTCCCACACTGAACTTCAAGTTAAATATTTCCAGGTTTGACAGTGAAATAAACCGTTAGAAAGGCAGTGTTTCTTAATATTTAATATCCCACCGGTGTGTAATTGATTCTACTGTGGGTGAGCATCACAAAGAGCCTCCAGTGGAAAACTGGAGAGAGACAGGGCACTCAGCCGCCTATTGTTTACTCTGTTACAGCCTGTGTCATCTGTTGTCTTCCTGTAAAAGACATAATTGAATTTTACTAGCAAACATGAGGAAATTATATGAATTGAATACAATTACCAGGGTTTTTCGAAATAAATGTTCAAGATCAAAGATTTTTATTGCCTATTCACTATATGTGCAGGACATACAGAAAATCAAAATAATGAATGCCATACCATTTAGGAAACTAAAATAGAATAAAAGTAAAAATAGACTAAAAAGAATAAGAAAAAAGTGATTAGGATAAAACTAAATGGTGGAGCCTAATAGGCTATGACTCAAACCATGTACAATCAGCAAATAATAACAAAAAGTTGTCAGATGGTTGTGAGATTGAGATGCACATGGACAGCAGTGTAAATGACCAACAGCAGCAGATATGATGGTAAAAACAGTCAGCAACAGATTTAAATGTAATATAACAAGAAGGGGGAATGTACTGGGTTTGTGCAAAACAGCAGAGGTATTTTTTTTATGTTCTGTGGTGGGTTATGGTCCAGGGGCAGAGGGGGGGAGGTAATGGACAGTGTTCAGCATCCTCACAGCCTGGAGGATGAAGCTGTTTGTAAGTCTGGTGGAGTGGGCCTGAAGACTCCGATACCTTCTCCCCGAAGGCAGGAGTCTGAAGTGGGAGTGTGCGAGGTAGAAGGTATCATCAACAATGGTGATGGCTCTGTGGGTGAGGCGGGGGTTAAAAATGTTCATGAGGGAAGGCAGAGGGCCACAGATGATCTTGCTGGCTGTTTTCACTATGCATTGCAGGGTCCTTCTGCAGGAGGCAGTATGGCCTCTGTACCACACAGTGATGCAGCCAGTGATGATGCTCTCAGTGGTCCCTTGGTAGAAAGAGCGCATGATGGGGAGGTGGGACACTGGCTCTCCTCAGTTTGTGGAGGAAGCAGAGGTGTGTTTGAGCGTTCTTGGCCAGTGTTGTAGTGTTGTTGGTCCAGGAGAGATCCTCAGAGATGTGCACCCCCAGGAACTTGGTGCTGCTCACTCTCTCCACTACAGCACCATCAATGGCCAGTGGGGGATGCTTTAGAGGTTGTCTCCTGAAGCCCACAACAGTCTTCCCCACATTCAGGGAGAGGTTATTGTCCTTACACCACAGAACCAGTTGGGACACCTCACTCCTGTAATCTGCAAACTTGACAATGTGGTTGGTGCTGTAGGTTGGCACACAGCCGTGGGTCAGCAGTGTGAAGATTAATGGGCTGAGCACACACCCCTTCGGAGTCCCTGTGCTCAGTGTGATGGTCTTGGAGATGTTGCTGCCGACCTGCACATTTTGTGGCCTCCCTGTTAAAAAAGGCCAGCACCCGGTTATGGCATGGTGCACTAGCTGCACTGCAGAGAACTGGAGAGACCCCGCCCGGATAGTCAAGACTGCACAGAGAATTGTGGGAACCCAGCTCCCCATTCTGGACAAAGTTTATGCTAGCCACGTACACAAGAGGGCTAGTAACATCGTTCAGTACTCAACCCATCCAGGCTACAGACTGTTTGTCGGGCAAAAGATACAGGGCAGTGAAGACACACACTAACAGGCTAAGGAACAGCTTCTTCCCTGGAGCTGTAGCCTGGGTTACACCCCGCTCCCTCACACACACACACATACCCAATCCCACACACCCACAGCTCCAAAAGACTGAAGACTGTAATAACCAACCTGCCCCCAACCTGCTGCTAATGCATGTAGCACCTTACATTTTACTGACATTAACTAGTACATTGCGTGGCACTGCTTTGCACCGTTTTGCATCATGCCAACAACACTGTACACATATGCCATTGTATACATTTGATGTTGGGTTTATTGTTGTTGCTTATATTTCTATTTCTATTGTAACTAATTTGTTTTATTTAGATTCTTTTATCACTGCTGCTCACTGAGAGCTGCCAAACCAATTTCATTGTACAACTACAATGACAATAAAGTCTCTTTCTTTATCTCTAAAGGCTTTTTCTATTTATGTATTTATTTACATGTGAGACTTACAAAAAGCACAGCTGTAAATGCTAAAGCAAATGATGGCTGAATTCCACTTTTAGGCATGTATGTTTAAGCTTAATGCAGTAATGCTGAAATTTTCTTCCAACATCAGTTACCTTGCTTTTTTCTGAGTTCTCTTGTTGCAAAGCTCCAAAGATTGCTTAAAAAGGAAGGTGATCACTTCTCCTAATATTACATTACTGTATATTTGAAACACTGTCATACACTTAAAAGGTACGTAAGATGAAAAGTGAAAGCTCATTCTCCACCAAATCAGTTTCAGTGAACTGTAAAAGCCCCAAGAAACTTCAGTGATGTCACTTTTAGTTGTAATCAGCCTGTTTCATCCATTTGCTTGATATATTTTAAGTGACATTAAACCACCAATCATGTTAAAAAAAAACTTTATTGTGTTCCAGAGAGCATGTTTCCAAATCATCAAACCAAGCTACAGAGACCAGTACTTGCATGTTTTATTTATTAGATCAGTTCCTTCTGGTGCTCCCTGCTTCTGTCATAAGCAATAAACTCAAACATCTACACAAGCTATTATCTCTGGCTGTTGTCAGTGATAAATGCAGCATGATCAAATCCAAATAGTCTCGTTCTCTTAGCTGAAATGAGCTAAGAGGATCTCTTAGCTGAAATGAGCTAAGAGGAAGGCACAATGGCACACAGCAATAGATGCTGCTGTGTTGCCTGGCACGTGTGTGTGCTGGATGAAGTGAATGCTTTGGGGAGTGTTTTGTCTGCTAGTGTGTGCAGTGTGTGTAATTGTGTTGGGCCTTACCTTATTTGGATAGTAATTACAGCTTAATGTCTGCTACACACGCACAAACATCCCACCCACTCTCAAATGTTTGTATGCACATACCTCATTATGTAACACATGTTCCAACACACACACACACACACACACACGCCATCTTAAACCAGTGGCTTGTCCTGCAGAGAGACAGGTCTTCCCTGATCTTGACAGGCTATTCTGCAAGTGGTGGCATGCAGCCTGTGTCTCTGTGCATGTTAAGTGATCTATGATGACACCGAGACACATAAAGACACTTGAAGTTGCATTCGTGATAGTCTTCTGCCTGAAGACTGTTGCATTGCAGGTGTGTGGGTTCATTTGCCCTTTGTGTGGTTGTTAAGGGGCTTAGATACTGTATTGTCCAGGCCAAAATGTTTGACAATTGTTAAAATGATGCATACAGTACTAGAACCCCAAAGGCTATAATACAATTGAGCAGCACTATTTTTCAAGGTACTGTTGGGTTTTATGGGAGATGTGGTTTTGTTTTACAGAGGAACAACTCCAGTTAAAGTACCCAAGCAGCAGCCATCCTGACTTGATGCATGTTACCATGGTATTTTAAAGTATACAATTTAGTATTGCACTTCCATAAAGTTGGGGTACTTACAAGAGATGAAAATCAAAGCAGCAGATGCTGACATACTGACACACTTGCGTGTCTGTATGTATGAACATGTGTATAAAAATAAAAATAAAAATTTCCCACTTGCCCCGCTTTGGGGGCGGTCTTATTCCTTCCTTCAAGCTTGGGTCCTTTACCAGAGGCCTGGGAGCTTGAGGGTCCTGCGCAGTATCTTTGCTGTTCCTAGCACTGCACTCTTCTGGACAGAGATCTCAGATGTTGTTCCTGGAATCTGTTGGAGCCACTCTCCCAGTTTAGGGGTCACAGCCCTTGGGATTGCTACATCTATCACTACGGCCTTCTTCTTCTGTTTGTCCACCACTACTATGTCTGGTTGGTTGGCCATTACCAGTTTGTCAGTTTGTATCTGGAAGTCCCACAGGATCTTAGCTTGGTCATTCTCAACCACCTTTGGAAGTGTATCCCATTATGACTTTGGGACTTCCAGCTTGTACTCGGCACAGATGTTTCTGTACACTATGCCAGCCACTTGGTTATGGCGTTCCATGTGTGCCATGCCTGATAGCATCTTGCACCTCGCTGTTATGTGCTGGATTGTCTCAGGGGCATCTTTGCACAGCTTACACCTGGGGTCCTGCCTGGTATGGTAAACCCCGGCCTCTATTGATCTTGTACTTAGAGCCTGTTCCTGTGCTGCCAGGATTAGTGCCTCTGTGCTGTCTTTCAGTCCAGCTTTGCCCAGCCACTGGTGGGATTTTTCGATATCAGCCACTCCTATTTGACGGTGGTACATACCGTGCAGGGGTTTGTCCTTCCATGAGGGTTCCTGCTCTTCCTTCCCTTGTTCTTCTGGTTTCTGTTACCTGAGGTATTCACTAAGCACATCATCACTCGGGGCCATCTGCTGATGTATTCATGGATCTTTGTTGTTTCATCCTGGATAGTGGCTCTGACGCTCACTAATTCTCTGCCTCCTTCCTTCCGCTTAGTGTACAGTCTCAGGATGCTGGACTTGGGGTGAAACCCGCCGTGCATTGTAAGGAGCTTCCTTGTCTTGATGTCAGTGGCCTCTATCTAATCCTTCAGCCAGCTTATTATGCCAGCAGGGTACCTGATGACCAACAGGGCGTAGGTGCTAATCACCCAGAATTTGTTCTTTCCGTTCAGCTGACTTCTCAGGACTTGCCTTACTCTCTGCAGGTAGAGGTAGTTGCTGCTTGTGCAATTGGCTTGAAGTTGGCCTCTAGGGTTGTTTTCCACATTCCCATTGAATTCTTGATAAAGGCTCTTATGATGTTGTATAGT